CCACAGCATACGTCTCATCCTCCTTGTCCGCCTCCTCCTCCTCCTCCGTCTCCTCCTCCTACCCATCCTCCTCCTCATCCTCCTCTTCATCCGCTTCCTCCCCCTCCACCTCATCGTCATCCGTATCATCATCATCATCATCATCATCATCATCATCATCATCATCATCATCATCATCATCATCATCATCATCAGCATCATCATCATCATCATCATCATCATCATCATCATCATCATCATCATCATCATCATCATCATCATCATCATCATCATCATCATCATCATCAGCATCATCATCATCATCAGCATCAGCATCCAGCATCATCATCATCATCATCATCATCATCATCATTCATCATCATCATCATCATCATCATCATCATCATCATCATCATCATCATCATCATCATCATCATCATCATCATCATCATCATCATCATCATCATCATCATCATCATCATCATCATCATCATCATCATCATCCTCATCCTCATCATCATCATCATTATCATCATCATCATCATCATCACCATCATCATCTTTATCATCAGCATCATCATCGTCATCATCATCATCATCACCACCATCATCAGCATCATCATCATCAGCATCCTCAGCAGCATCATCATCATCATTGCCAGCATCATCATCATCATCATCATCATCGTCATCATCATCATCATCAGCATACTCATCATCAGCATCAACATCATCATCAGCAGCAGCATCACCATCAGCATCGGCATCATCAGCATCAGCAGCAGCATCAGCATCAGCATCAGCAGCATCAGCCTCATCATCATCATCATCATCATCATCATCATCATCAGCATCATCATCATCATCATCATCATCTGCGTCATCATCATCAGCCTCGGCATCATCAGCAGCATCAGCATCAGCATCAGCAGCATCGTCAGCAGCATCAGCATCGTCAGCATCATCATCATCAGCAGCATCATCATCAGCATCAGCAGCATCATCATCAGCATCAGCAGCATCATCATCAGCAGCATCATCATCATCATCTTTTGCATCATCATCATCATCATCATCATCATCCTCCTCCTCCTCCTCCTCCTCCTCATCATCCTGCTCCGCATACTCCCCCTCCGCCTCCTCCTACCCATCCTCCTCCTCCTCAACCTCCGCCTCCTCCTCATCTTGATCATCATCAGCATCAGCATCAGCATCATCATCTGCATCATCATCAACATCATTATCATCATCAGCATCAGCATCATCAGCATCATCAGCATCATCAGCATCATCAGCAGCATCATCATCATCAGCATCAGCATCATCGGCAACAGCAGCATCATCACCATCATCATCATCATCCGCAGCATCAGCATCAGCATCAATCACCTGCATCATCAGCAGCATCAGCATCACCACCCATGTCATCAGCATCAGCAGCATCATCATCAGCATCAGCATCATCATCCTCATCATCAACCTCAACATCATCGTCAGCATCACGTTCATCCTGCTCCTCCTCCATCTACTCCTCGTATTCCTCATCCTCCTCATCCTCCTCCTCCGTCGCCTCCTCCTCCTCCTCGGCTTCATCATCATCATCATCATCATCATCATCATCATCATCATCATCATCAGCATCAGCATCAGCATCAGCATCATCATCAGCAGCGGCATCATCATCAGCATCAGCAGTATAATCTTCCTTCTCCGCCGCCTCCGCCCCCGCCTTCTCCGCCGCCGCCGCCTCCTCCGCATCCACATCCGCTGCCTACTGCTCCTCCGCCCCTCATCCTCCTCCTCCTCCTCATCCACCTCCTCATCGTTCTCCTCCTCCTGCTCCTCCTCCTCCTCATCATCCTTATAATCATCAAACTCATTGTCATCATCATCGTCAGCATCATCATCAGCAGCCTCATCAGCAGCAGCATCAGCATCAGCATCAGCATCATCATCATCATCATCATCATCATCAGCATCATCATCAGCATCAGCATCAGCGTCATCATCAGCAGCAGCAGCATCAGCAGCATCATCAGCAACAGCATCATCATAATCATGATCACCATCGTCATCAGGAGCGGCATCAGCACCATCATCAGCATCAGCATCACCAGCATCATCATCATCAGCAGCATCATCATCAGATCCATCGGTATCATCAGCATCATTGTCATCGTCATCATCAGCATCATCATCAGCAGCTTCATCCCAATCCTCATCCTCTTCATCGTCATTACCCGCATCATCATCATCATCATCATCATCATCATCATCAGCAGCATCATCATCATCATCCTCCTCCTCCTCCTCCTCCTCCTCCTCCGTTGACTCCTCCTTCTCCTGCTCCACCTCCTCTTCCGTTTCCTCCTCCTCCTCCTCCTCTGCCTCTTCTCGTCCTCCGCCTCCTCCTCCTCCTCCTCCGCCTCCTCCTCCTCCTCTTCCTCCTACTCCTCCGCATCCCTCCTCGTCCTCCTCCTCCTCCTCCTCCTCCTCCGACTCCTCCTCATCCACCTCCTCCTCCTCCTCCTCCTCCTCCTCCTCCACCTCCTCCTCCCTCCTCCTCCTCTCATCCTCCTCCTCTCCTCCTCCTCCTCCTCCTCCTCCTCCTCCTCCTCTCCTCCTCCTCATCATCATCATCATCATCCTCATCATCGCATCATCATCATCATCATCAGCATCATCATCATCATCATCATCATCATCATCATCATCATCATCATCATCATCATCATCATCATCATCATCATCATCATCATCATCATCATCATCATCATCATCATCATCATCATCATCATCATCATCATCGTCATCGTCATCATCATCATCATCATCATCATCATCATCATCATCGTCGTCAGCATCATTATCATCAACATCAGCATCAGCATTATCACCTCATCATCAGCAGCATCATCATCACCATCAGCAACATCATCATCAGCATCATAATCATCATCATCATCAGAATCAGCATCAGCATCAGCAGCATCATCATCATCAGCATCATCATCATCAGCATCAGCATCAGCATCATCACAGCCAGCAGCAGCCGCATCATCATCATCAGCATCATCGGCATCAGCAGCATCATCATCAGCATCAGCACCAGCATCATCATCATCATCACTAGCATCATCATCAGCATCAGCATCATCATCACACTCATGCTCATCATCATCATCATCAGTATCATCATCAGCAGCATCAGCATCATCATAATCAGCATCATCATCACCAGCATCACCTGCAGCATCATCATCGTCATCATCGTCAGCATCATCATCATCGTCATCAGCAGCATCATCATCATCATCAGCAGCATCATCATCAGCATCAGCATCATGCATCCTCATCGTCATCAGCAGTATCAGCATCATCAGGATCAGCAGCATCATCGTCAGCGCCATCAGCATCATCATCAACAGCAGCATCATCATCAGCAGCATCAGCAGCAGCATCATCAGCATAATCAGCATTATCATCCGCATCATCGTCAGCGACAGCGTCATCATCATCAGCATAATCAGCATCGTCATCAGCATCATCATCAGCAGCATCATCATCAGCATCATCAACATCAGCATCATCGGCCTCACCATCATCATCAGCAGCATCACCATAAGCATCATCATCAACGTCATCATCGTAATCATCATCGGCATCAGCATCATCAACATCAGCAGCAGCATCAGCATCATCATCAGCAGCAGCATCATCGGCATCAACAACATCGTCATCATCATTAGCATCATCAGTATCAGCATCATCATCTTCATCATCAGCAGCATCAGCAGCAGCATCATCAACATCAGCATCAACAACAACATCATCAGCAGCATCATCATTATCATCATTATCATCATCATCGTCATCATCAACAGCAGCAGCACCAGCTTCATCAGCAGCAGCAGCACCATCAGCATCAGTATCAGCAGCATCAGCGTCATCAGCATCCTCGTCATCATCATCAGCAGCATCAGCATCATCATCATCAGCAGCAGCATCATCCTCATCCGATGCATCCTCCCTCCTCCCCCTCCTCCTCTTCCACCTCCTCCTCCTATTATTCGTCCTCTTCCTCCTCCTCCTCCGCCGCCTCCGCCTCCGCCTCCTCCTTCTCCGCTTCCTCCTCCTCCTCATACTCCTCCTCTTCTTCTTCGTCCTCCTCCTCATCCTCATCCTCCTCCTCCCGCCCCCCCCCCCCCTGCCCGCCCTCCTTCCGCAAAGGTCTTTATAAATGACGCGTGCCTCCCCGTCGATATCGGGGTCGGGGGGAGCCCATACCCTCCCGCGCCGACGTGCGCTCGCTGGAGGCTGGCAGGCAGGAAAGACAGCGCAGGGGAGAAGGAGAAGGAGGAGGAGGAGGAGGAGGACGAGGACGAGGAGGAGGAGGAGGAGGAGGGGGACGAGGAGGGAGAAGGAGGAGGAGGAGAAAGAGGAGGAGGAGGTTCGACGCCCGTAAACCGTAAAGGGAGGAGTCAAGGGGAGAGAGAGAGAGAGGGAAAAATGGGGTGCCCATCCGAGGAGGAGGAGGAGGAGGAGGAGTTGGCATCAGGGGGGAGGGGACTACCTTGCCGGCACCTGCAGATCTAGTGCTGTATGCCCTCGCGAGCTTCTCCACTGTTCTGCTTCTCTTCGCACCTCCTGAGCCGCTGAGTCTTCACTATGGTGATGTTGCTGCTTACCGATTTCCTGGTACGCTCTCTGACTGTTCTTGCAGAGAAGAACGCGATAGCATCGTCGCTGGTGTTTGCGTAACCCAAGGAGGGAGGAGGAGGAGGAGGAGGAGGAGGAGGAGAAGGGAGGAGGGGGGAGGAGGAGGAGGACAAGGACAAGGACGAGGAGGAGGAGGAGGAGAGCAGGCGCACGAAGGACGACGAGCAGGACGAGAAGGTAGACGACGGCGAAGAGGAGAACGACGAGATGGGGGAAGCGGTGCTTCCGGAAGGAGCGATCATTCATGCGGCACCCCTGCCATGACTGCACCACGCCAGCCCGGTGTCGCAACACCGACCTCGTCACGCCGACGCCGCGTGCCCTCCGTCGAAGGAGATGGGGCACTTCACCTCACGGGCGACGAGCATGGCTATCCATAGCCATGCCCTGGCGGCCTGGACACCAAAGCTCGGGCCCACGGACACGCGCTCTCATGGATAGGTTCCGCGCGGGACCTCCTCGCACAGTCGCCATGGTATCCGTGGGGTCGCGGCCGAGGAGTCAGGGCCACGGGGCTGTGGATAGGGGCACGTCTCTCACGCCCACGATCACCCGCTTGAGCAGCTCCCACCACTGGACTCGGAGATACCACTCCTCCTTCCCTAACCTGCCGTGCTGCCCGTCGCTCAAGATGCTACTGACCACTGATGATGACCTGTACCCGTGGGCATCGACGTCCTGACCGCTCGCGGATGCAGCTGCCTCGATTCGACTCCACTCCTCCTCTGTGGGTGGACAAGAGCCCGATTCGCTGATGAGTCTCGCGAAGTCCACGGGCTTACCATGCGTGACAGCTGTGAACATGTTCCTTAAAACGCTGCGGATCAGGAGTGCGGCCCCACTCTTTCCACCATCCATGGCGATCGCCTGCAGATGCTCCCCAGAGGCCCAACGATTGTAGCGACCAACCCAGGCCTGCTCGACACCATCCTTCCCTGGCCCGGCGACCGCCTTCTCCCATCTGGGGAAAGTACACAGGCCTTCGGGCAGCACCATCGCCGCAGCTGCCCCACCCCGCTCCCCTTCTTGCAGCTGGTCCGAGTCAGATCGTCCGTCCAGATCGTCCACGGCGTCACGGATGAGCTGAGCCAGCTCTTCCACACCAGCCAGCCGCAGCCCGACCGACCGCAGGGCCTCCGCCGACGTCGGCTGCGTGTACACCAGGTCGAGCAGCATCTTCTCAGACAGGAGGGCACTGGGGGCCACCTTCAGACCCTCCGCCACGCCATCCCGCCAGCGCCGGATGCGCTCGAGGAGCTCCTCTCGGCTACACGGGAGTGGCCCTGGGCAGGAGTGACCTTTGATGCGCGGACTAACGGGGCGCAAGGTGGCCAGATCCGAGGGCGCCATCAGCCGCTATTCGCTCGCGCTCGGCCATCGGGGGGCGCCCGATGAGCCCGCACCAAAGGTCCCTGCGGCGAAGGGTCACTCTGGCGTGTAGTCGATCCTCGAGCTTCTCGGCTCGCTCCGTCTCCCCCATCTTCCGGTAGTCTTTCAGCCGCTTGGTCCACCGGAGGTGGGCCGAGAGGGTCGGCCCCTCCCCCCTGTCCACCTTCGGCGACACACAAGTCGAGCAGGGGATCCACTACAGAACTGGTTTACCCCAAGCTTGATTCCCCCGCCGAACCTATGACCGAAATGTGTATCATATCCCGTAGAACGACCAACATTCTAGGGGTGTATGTATAAAACTCTGAATTCTAGATTCAAGCATACATACATACATACATACATACATACATACATACATGCATGCATGCATGCATGCATGCATACATGCATACATGCATACATGCATACATGCATACATACATACATGCATACATGCATACATGCATACATACATTACATACATTACATTACATTACATTACATTACATTACATTACATTACATTACATTACATTACATTACATTACATTACATTACATTACATTACATTACATTACATACATACATACATACATACATACATACATGCATACATACATACATACATGCATACATACATGCATACATACATACAAACAGACAGACAGACAGACAGACAGACCTACCTACCTACCTACCCACATACATACATACACACGCATGCATACATACACACATACATGCATACATGCATGCATGCATGCATACATTCATACATACATACAATTATACATACATACCAATACATGCATACATACCTACCGGCCTACCTACCTGCATGCATGCATGCATGCATGCATGCATGCACGCATGCATATATAGCGTTGCATTCCGCCCTTTTTCATCCAGGCCAGCAGCGATATGTCGTGGCGACAGACCTTCGCCCTGAGAAGACTGGAGCAAGCGACTCATAAAACACAACCCTCTGGACCGGTCTCAGAGATACTAAACTCCAGAAAAAAGTTACAGGGGATCATAGGCGGGGCGGGCGGGCTCTGGGAGCCTTGAGCCCAAACGGGTAAGGACATGGAGAACGAGACTCATCCTCACGGATTCAACGGCCATCCTGATCGGCCTCTGCTCAAAGCTAAAACGATACCAAGGTGATCTACCAAGCGTTGCACTCCGCCCTTTTTCATCCAGGCCAGCAGCGATATGTCGTGGCGACAGACCTTCGCCCTGAGAAGACTGGAGCAAGCGACTCATAAAACACAACCCTCTGGACCGGTCTCAGAGATACTAAACTCACGATTTGCCGTAGTTACAACTGGAGGCATCGGATTAAAGGTCACAGTAGCCATATATTTCAATTGCAGCCAGGGCGTCTTTAAAGCTATGTGCTAGAGCATTACACAAGGCACGAGGGTAAGGCTCGGCAATTAAAGTTCGGAAAATACCATTAGACTTTCCGGACAACTCAACGTGGGGCTTATTACTGTAGCTACAAATGCCGCGGCCAGTGCAGAAGCGAGAGCATCTGGACAAATCTACGTGCACGCTCACGATTCTAGTTCGTTTGCGCCACGGCATATTGAAACCACAGAAATCGGTTCGGATGCTATGCACGGGGTTGAGGCGGCAGGCGGAAGCCATCGGCGGGCACAACCACATCCTGCTGGTCGAGGGATTCTACAACGCACATGGTACGATGAGACGAGCACAGAGCCTCAAGACGGATGCCGAGAAAGTCATGAGCACGTTCCCGAATCGAACTTTTTCACGATCCACGGCTGAGAGATCGGGGAGCCCCAGAGGTTCAGAATCGCTTCTTAGACGAGGAGGTCCGCCACCCCGATCGCGGGCACGAGAAAAACTCGAACATGGGGTCCCCATCCAGACTGCAATAACCTGTGACGCCAGCAACCATCCTCGCACACGTTTTTGCACCTTCGGTAACGTCAAATCATATTGCTCACCATGGCGAATGTCGAATTCAATGATAGGCAATCCCACATGCCGTCTCCAAGCAGCTGAGAAATTTCCAGTCCCTGAAAATAGCTCTATAGCTAACCGCACCTGAATGTGATTGGCCCTCAAGAACGGCAGGACCTGCTCATGATGGCGCCAATCTCGCAGGCGTACCTTGCCGCTGCGAGCTGAGCGCCGTGCGGCAGGAAGCGCACCCGCTCCATCAGGTGGCCTGCCTTCTGGTAGCGACGCATCGAGCTCGACTGGGCCCACCCGCCGCGGTGCTGCATGCCTAGCGGGCCCTGGCGGCCGAGGCTGATGACGAGGCTGGCACCCGCAGGGTAGAGGAGCACCGTCCACCTTGAGTGGTCCTTGACTCCGCTTGGCAGCGGCGGCACCAGCCAGCCGCGGCGCAGACTGAGGGCCTTGCACGGCTTCAGGTAGAGCACCACGTACATCAGCATTGCTTCCGCCATGGGCCACCGGTCGCCGCGGACCAGCCAGTCGCTCAACAGGCTGGAGCCCGCCCCCTCGATCCACAGGTAGTCGAAGAAGTCCCCGAGCGCGTCGTCGACTTGCTTCTCCGACTGGAGAGGGAGGAGGTGTAACCGTGCCCAGTCCTCGAAGCTCTCCCAGCTCTCTGGGTACAGCTGCTGGGTGCGTGGCCAGACGTTGGTCGCATGGAGGGAACTCAGCCTCGCCAGCTCCGGAGCCCTCGTAGCAGCCGAGCCCCTGCGGGCAACCGCGCGAGCAGCGGCATGTCGGGCCCGCGGCTGCGCCTGGCGCTGCGTCGGCACCAGCGGCCCGACCCCCTCCAGCGCGTGGCCCCTCGGCAGGGCCGCGGCAAGCGTCGATCCCCTCATGCCCCGAAGAGCCGGGTCTCGCGCTCGCGGCCTGCCAGCGTGGGCCCACGCCATCCGGGGCACCTTGGGCAGCGGCTGCGCTGCCGCCCCGTGGACCCTGGCCGGGGTCGGGGCACACGGCAGCGCCGCCAGCTCCACGCCTGGCGACGGCGGCCGGCGGCAGCAGCCCCCTCCGCGAGGGAGCATCAGCAGGATTCTCCTCGCTCGAGATCCACCTCAGGTAGACGGAACATCCCGACACCAGCGCCAGTGCAGCCCAGCGCCGGACAACTCGGAGCATCCCGGGCGCGGACGTTCGGCCCTTGCTCAGAGCCAGAACAGCCGACATCGAGTCGCTGAGGATGAGAACACGCTTATGCCATGTCTGACAGTTCCGTAGCATGTGTCGAAGTCCCCACAAGGCAGCTCTGGTCTCCAGAACAGGAATACTCTCAAGACGATCCCAAGCTTGCGACCTCACTGTCCTCCAAGGGCCTCCGACAAGGGATCGAGGCACGAGGTCGACCCCCCGCTCCAGCCGGGCGCAGACGTCCACGCCCTCCAGCACGTTAGCGTTCCCTGCCTTCTCCCCCGTCACCTTCGCCTCCTCGATCCGCTCCCGGGCCTGCTCACGGGCCCCTTCTCCACCCTCCTCGAACCTCCAGGCCTCTGAAAAGCTCATGGCGTGCTTCACGTCGGCCTCCAGGCCCACGGTCTCCGTCACCCCCCAGACCCCACTCGGAGGCGTCAGTGGCCAGGACACGCGTGTAGATGGGGGCGCACAGGTCCCGGGAGCAGAAGCAGATAAGACACGAAGCCCACCGCAACTCACGTCGAACCACATCCCAGACTCCAACGCTCTCCCCACGATGACGCCCGATGAAGGCATACACCCCGCTGAACACCGACAGGAGCTCCCGATGAAGAAGAAACAGATGAGCGCAGTGGCCCACAAGAACCTCGACTTGCTTCCCGCTCAGGCAGCGCAGACGCGAAGCGTGTTGAAGTGCAAGTCGAAGACGCCACACCCTTCTCTCTTTTCCGATCACCAGGGGGCGGTCACTTGAGAACATCCAGCCGAGAGCTTCGCCTCCTGGCCCTGCCTCAACAGGATGAGCTCGCAGGCCCACACGCTCGAGCTCGGCCGCAACTCCTTCGGCCGCTGACCGAGCCTTACCTGCAGACTGAGAGAAGGCCACGAAGTTGTCAACATACGCTGCGTGTGCAACTGGTCGTAGGTCACGGGGGGCTCGGTGGTCCTGGACGCGGGAGTCGCTGCTGAGGCCCGGGGCCCGATCACACGCAGCTTCCAGAACTCTCTGACACCAGTTGAGGGCATGCGTCCAACCCATCGCCAGCACCTTCAGCCTCGGGAAGATCCACGTGTTCGGTCCTACGGAGGCCCCCTCTACAGCACAGGTGACACCTACGCGTCCTGCCCGAACCTTCCCGAGACCAAAGTAGGGCCTGAGGGGCCCGGGCAGGGCCATCTGGTAAAAAGCATCCTGAATGTCGGTTTGGCCCAACTCAAAGGCCAGGTCGGCCGCGGCAAACAAACGTGAAAAAGAATCCCCCGAGGCAAGACGAGTTTTCGGCGGATCCTTAAACCAACAGTTAGACCTACGGGCGTCGATGATTAAACGCTGGGTCCTGTTTTTCTTCCAGACCGAAAAAAAGGCCACACTGCTCTTTCACTTCTAAGCCGAATTCAAGCATCCCACGTTGAGCTAGAGCCCGGATGACACGCTCAAACTCACGAGGGCGGTGGAGGAGAGGATCGAGGTAGGGACGCTGAGGGACCCCGTTCGAGCTCAAACGCTCGTCCGCCTGATCCTTTGGCAAGAGGTAGTCTTCAACAAACTTCTGAACTTCATCGCGGCCATTCTCGACAAGACCCCCCAGGTCCCGGGGCATCCCAGCAGCAGGAAGGCTGAGAAGGTCAAGGTTCAGAGGGGCCACAGAAACAGGGGACCCCTGATAGCTGTGGGACGCCTGGAGCTCTCGAAAGGCTCCCCGGCAGGTGAAGTCGGCGGGAGGCTTTTCCCACTGGGCCAAGCACTCACGAACGTGCGTCAGCCCGAGGTCGTGTACAAGAGGCCTGAATTGCGCCGGCGAGGCCTTGTCGGTGCCGACACCGACAGGCTCACTGGCGGGAGTGTCCTGGTAGCCACCAAGCTCGTTGAGCGCCCGCGCCACGTCAGACTCCCAGTCGGAACGGTGCTCTCTGGCCTCCACACGTCGTCGTACGGATCGCGACAGAGACTCCCAGCCCTCAGCACGCCGAACGCGCTCATGAACAGCCAGGGGAAGAGCATCGCGCTGGGCCACAAAACTCGCACGACCACCATGATCGCGCTCCCCCTCATGTGTGAAGGCCAGCAGGGTGGGGTCGCCCTCTGGCCTCGGCTCATCACGCGCCATCCTTGCGCGAGAGTTTGTTCTCCTCCCGCGCCTTCTTCATCTGCCCGGTAACCCAGACGTCTCGGCCGATCTCCTTCAAAACCCATTTCACCAAACCGGGGCAGTTCGTCACCTCCCCGCCTAAGCGGTCCGAGTCGGAGAAGCAGGCCGCCTCGTCGCGGGTCACCCCCTGCGCCAGCTTGTTCGCCTTGCTGCCTTTGTTCGCCTTCTCGTAGTGAAAATCTATCACCTGGCACCGCCTCATGATCACTTCGAGCCTGACCCGATTTGGAAAGTCAATATGGCTGTACTCCCCGAACAACTTGAAGGCCTGCATCTCGTGACCATGCTCCTGATCTCTGAAGTACGTGCTGGACACCTTCAGGTTGGCCATCCACCCGCGGTGGTGGTCCATGGGATTGTCCCCGCGGCGGTCCACGAACTGTACGCACCAGAGCACCGTACGCGGCCTCGGCTCGGGCCAGTCCTCCAACTCGACCTGCTTCACCTTCACCGACACCTCGCGCCACACTTGCTGCCTGACCCCCTGGCTGTCGCACTGTGCGCCCACCACGCCGGCGTCCGAGCTCGAAGCCGAAGGTCCCTTCGCATCAACGTAGTCCGACGGCATCTCGTCCATGCGCAGGCGTTCCACGAAGACCCTCTCGGCCGAGCAGGGAGCTGGCTCCAGCTCCATCCGCCCGTCGGGCGAGATCAGCGCGTCCGACGGCATCGCGACATCGTCGCCGACTGTGACCCCCAGGAACCCGTTGGCCACGACGATCACCCAGCGGCCCTCGGGCGCGGCGGGCGCACGATACACACGGTCGCGCTCCCTCGGGGTGAGAGTCCCACGGACCTTCCCCGCCGCGCCTACGTCGACGACCGGGCCAGGCACGGGCTCGACGCCGAGGTCTCCGCCGTCAGCACCGCCAGGTGGGTGAACCACTGGGCCGCGGCGACACTCCTCCGAGCTGGCCACGCAGTCGGTCTCGTCCAGCAACCTCTCCCACCGTCGTCCCTGGGGGAAGGTTCCGGACTTGTAGGTGCTCTCAACGCCGACCTCAATCGGCACGTCCCTCAGCACCGCCTCCCACGTTGCCGTCACTGTGTCCAGCTTCCGGTAGGGCTGCAAATCCACGAAAGGCGCCCACCAGCTGCACGACACCACGTCACACGAGCACTCTTCGCCTGCCTCGCAGGCCGAACACGAGGGCGCCCGAGGACACTGGGTCGCGTGGCACGTCGGGCGCCGCAGGTCAGGGCGGTGCAGATTTGGACAGGGAAGGATCGCCGGGCACGAGAGGGTCGGGCAGCTCGGCACCGGCGAGCACCGAAACAGCCAACCGTGAGTCGCCTGTGAAATACTGGCGACGACTGTGACCAGCAGCTCCGATGCCATCCGTCGCGCGTCAGAAGGCGCGCTCAGCGCCTTGAGCCCAAACGGGTAAGGACATGGAGAACGAGAGTCATACATATACATGCATGCATGCATGCATATGCACATATGTATATATCAAAAAATGTGTATATATACATCTATATACATACGGCGGGACTATCAATTCTGGAGTAAACGAATTATGTAGTCGACCCCCTACTCGAGCAAGGAGGGCCTTGGGCAGGAGACGCCTGCGGTGCGCGGCCGCGGAGAACCGCCAGGGGCCCGAGCCCGGGCGCGCGGGCCGGTGCTGGGGGGGGGGGGGGGAGCGGCCCCCGTGCTCCTCCTCCTCCTCCTCCTCCTCCTCCTCCTCATCCTCCTCCTCCTCCTCCTCCTCAAACTCCTCCTCCTCCTACTCCTCCTCCTCCTCCTCCTCCTCCTCCTCCTCCTCCTCCTCCTCCTCCTCCTCCTCCTCCTCCTCCTCCTCCCTGAGATCCGACGTTGCTGACAGAAATCGCAGTGGAGGCCGGTCCACGAGAAGCCTTCCACAGGAGGCCCAACCCTGAGACCCAGGGACATGCATCGGCTTTCGGTGTGGCAGCGTCCCGCTCTCCACAGCAGAACCATCGAGACCCAAAAGACCCACGGCACCCTGGAGGCAAGCAGGGTGTTTCTTGGCATGGGCCTCCACTGCATGTCTCGAGCCGCATCGATCTGTGAGTGTCCCAGGGCCCGAAAAGAAGGCAAAAAGATCCCCCGCCGTGGAAAAGTTGCGGCGCAGGCTCAGAGGGCTCTTGCGTGCGACCGACACCACCTCCTCCACCGGCACTTTCTGGAGCTCGACCCCGGACCGCTCCAGCTCGCGCCTCTCGGGCGGGTGGTATAGTGGGGGGTGGCCTACATGGGATGAAGAGACGGGCCCCAAAGGGGCACTTCAAGGCCCCTTTGGGAGCCAGCAGGGGCGCTAAAGGACCCTTTTAGGCAATTGTTCTTCACTTTCGGGGGCATCTTGTACTTCTGCCGCCGTCCGCCGCCCTTCCGCCGACTTCCGCCAGCGGAAGCGGCCTCGCTTTCCTTCCGCTGACCTTCCGCCGCCCTTCCGCCGCGGAAGAGACGATCACTCCTTCGATCCTCGAAGGCACGGCCCCTTCTGGAACGCCCCATTTGGGCCACCCCCCTTGAGCTCAAGCTTTTTTGAAACCACTTAACGCGCGTTATGTGGCTGGGTGGGTGGGTGGGTTCGCTAGCACATGACGTAACACGTTGCGCGCGCTCTACGAACAGCACACCTGTGCGCTACACGACAGGCGTTGCTGCAAAGGGGATGGGTGAAGCGGAGGGCATTATGTTATCTCCTGGGTGGGCGGGTGGGTTGGAGGCCACATAATGCGCGTTATGTGCTCGAGGTAAAAAAAACTTCAACTCCTCAACACCCGCCCGAGCCTCGCCCTCTCCGTCCTCTTGCGCTCCGCCTCCTCGGCCTGGCGCACGCTCTGCGGGACCACGAGGGGCACCTCCCCGCCCTGCTCGTGCGCGGCCCGCCCCTTCTCGGTCCGGACGTACACGTCCCACCTTTCGGTGGCAACTCACGGGAGCCTCCCATACCATGTTTGTTGTCGGCTCTTGCGAGTCGACGCTAAATCGACGCTAATAGACGCTGAATCGACGCTAATAGACGCGAACCGACGCCAAATCGGCGCCATCTCATCGACTCCCAGACGCTAGTCGACGCGAATCGACGCTGAAGACAGAATCACGAGGGCACACAAGCCATGATTTGCTACCGAGCCACCTCCTGTTGCCGCGGCCAGAGGACATAGTCTCGCTGCGCCTCTCCAGGAAGCCCTCGCTGCAGAGCGCCTCGGAGGGAAGAAGAGAGAGCGAAGGCCACGGCCGGGACAGAACGCGGAAGCGGGGGTGCCGATCCTGACCATCGTCCATCCCGTGGTCAGCACCAATGCGTTGGAGAATCCTCGTGAATCGGCGATGGCGGGCAGGGACCATGGCCGAGATCGGCGTCGACGAGATCCCGCGACGTCCCGGCCATGCCTATCGTGCTCCTTCCCTCGACGCCTGGAGCAGCTCCTTGACGAAGTCCCGCTGGCAGAAGTGCGTGGGCAGGCCCTGCCTCATCGCCTGGATGCGGCCCATCGCCTCCTTGAGGCCACGGTCGCCCTGCCTCGGGACTTTAGGCTTCCAGGAACCTGAGCATCGTTCTGCCTATCCCTGTCCCCACTGGCGTGGCCTCGGCCTCACTGGCCGACTTAGGCTTACCCACCTGGGTGGAGCTCTATATATATATATATATATATATATCTGTGTATGTAGATACATATACCTATATATATATATATATATATGTGTGTGTACCTGATCCTGCGGGCTTCGCTGGGCATGTCCCCACCCTGGGAGGGTAGGATGGCGGGGCTGATATACCATGGCCGTGGCCCCATGGGGATGGGGATAGGCGAGACGATGCTGAGAGCCGGCTATGATGGCGAGGAGCGTGGTCGTCGACTGCGGGGAGCTCTCGACCGCGGCAACCGCCTCGAAGATCTGCCTCGCCGGCGCCCGGAAGTCTCTCCGCAGGTCGTCCGCGTGGTCCGCGCCCTGGACGCAGGTGTCGCAGGTGCCACACCGCTGCCCGAAGGAGGGCTCCTGGTTGGGCAGGGCCAGAGGGGGACCAGCTCAGGAAGGGGGGGAAGCATCGAGCTCGAATCGGCGATACATCGCCGACGGATCGGCGACAGGCCCCCGACGGCGAAACCACGGGTTCCTGGGCGAGGCGGGCCATCGGGCTCGGCGACCAATTGGCGATGGGAGGCCGATACATCCCCCCCTGAGCCTGCCCCCACCCCACCATAAGCTGAGCATCGTTCAACCGATCCCTATCCCCACGGGCGTGGCCTGGGCCCCACTGGCCGATCTACCCCCCTGGATTGGGATATAGGCTGCCCCCTTCGGCTTTCGAGAGGAAGATTCCCGACTGAGGTGGTGAGACAATGGGGCTCGAGATGTGGATGGGGACGGGGATGGGGACTGGTTAAGCGATACTGACAAACGTGGCCCCTGATCCTCCCCGAAGTACTTGAGCAGCCATGCCCGGCGGCAGTGGCAGCCGGAGGCGAACTCTCTCAGGGCGTCCGTGGACCTCAGCTGGTGCTCCTGCTGATCGGGGGGGAGGCCTCCCACGTAGAAGTCGGAGCTGTAGTTGTTGAAGTCCTCTACAGGGACCCAGGGACGCAAAAACAAATACACACAAACCCCTGGATTCCCCACGTCCCCATACTTTCTGGAGCGTCGTCTTCCGCCCCACTTGCCATATTTTCATATGTTGTCCTGGGAGTCGACGATTGATTGTGTCTGTGTGTTTTGTCCCTCCTGATCCTGGTCGCTGAAGACGAGCTCGCAGTTTGCCTTCAGGCCATCGCGCCCCGCGCGGCCGACCTGCTGCAGGTACTCCTCGACCGTCTTCGGAGCTCCGTAGTGCAGAATCCGCCTGATGTTAGGTCGGGCATGTCCCCCTCCTATAGGGGGATTTTGGATTGGGGATGAAACAATACCAAGATAGATTTTGAAATTGACAAAACGTGCTCAAAAAATCGTCCACCTAATATTTTTGACTATCGTTGAACATTCCTGCTGTGAAGGGACACGCCCGACTTAAGCCTGATGTCTGGCTTGTCGATGCCCATGCCGAACGCAATTGTGGCCACGAGCACATCGGTGCGCCTTAGCTGCCCCGATGCGCAACACCCGAGACGTAGCGTATCGACACGGAGCTCCACACGCATCCCGAAAGCGTACAGATCTGCTGCGATGCGCCCGCCAAGGCGTGGGACGACACGTCGAGCTAACACGCAGCGTGGTGGCACGGATGCCTGTGGGAAACACACACACACACACACAAAAAAAAAAAGCACAAACACACACACACACACACACACACACACACACACGTGGGACAAACAACACACAAAACAAAAAAAACGCATGTGGGGAAAACACACACACAGTGTGTGTGTGTGCTTTTTTTCCCACAGTGTGTGTTTTTCCCCCACGGATGTCTTGGGCACGGCACGTGCTGCGTCTCAACACGTGCGCATCGAGGCAGCTGAGCTGCGCGCCCGCTCAGGAAGTCCAGGTGCGCCTTCTCGCGCTCCACGGGGCCCTTCCCGGCATGGTAGCTGGCGGCCGTCCGCCCGGCAGGCCGCAGCGCTCCTGCCAGGAACTCTGCGAGCTCGTCCGCCGCGTCCCGCGTGGGCACGTACACGATGGTGGAACCAGCACCGGCGACCTGCCGGGGCCAGTCAGCATCGCATCGGGAAGTCTCGAGTCGGAATGCGTGCGCGTGGAATCGGGCTGCATCGGCACGGAGTCGAAATCGAATCGGATCGGCTGCGCCAGGATGCACGACAGCGCCGTGCAATGCACCGCGCCGCATCGGATCGCCGGAAAATCGGAATCGAATCGGATCCAGACGGCCAACGTCGACATCGGATCGGATCGATCGGATCAAAATGGGCCCTGCCTGCTCGGCGATCCGCTTGAAGTCGGCCTTCTTGCCCTGCTTGCGCGTGCATGCGAGGGCCAAGTTGGGACGGTCGAAGGTGTACAGCGACACCTGCGGGTCCCGCAGGCAGAGCTGCCCGATGATGTCGCGCTGCACCTCCGGAGAGGCGGTGGCCGTGAGGGCGACCAGGGGCACGCCAGGGAGCTTCTCCCGGATGGACCTCTCGAGGGACAAAAACTGACATCAACGCTGAACCTTCGGAGCTCCGCGCGGACTTCTGGGATCGGCGCTAGGCCCCCCTCCCTGGCGCGCTCCGCGCGCCAGGGCACGGTGCCGAGGCGCCGCCAGGAGAGTCCAGCGCCGATCCAAGGACTCCGCGCGGAGCTCCGATCTCTTATGCGTATGCCACCTGTCGGCTGCACGCAATAGTGACCCTCGGCTTAAGTTGGGCCTGTCCCCCTACAGGGGGATTTTCGACGAAAACTAAAAAGATACTCGAAAATTGCTCCCAAATACTCAAAAAATGCTCAAAAATAGTCCCCAGACTATTTTTTTAGTATTCTTGAATCTTCCCCCTGTAGAGGGACAGGCCCGACGTAACCCCAGGCAAGAGTGACCTCCAGTGCGCGGCTCCAGGGGCTTGAGGGGGGCGCGAGGGGGGGCCGAAGCCAAGCGCGCAGGCCGCTGCCATCGCATCCTGTTCAGCGATCAGGGGGCCCCCCATGGGCCCGCACCAAAGTTCACTCTGGCGAAGGGCCCCTCTTACGTTTGTGTCGGGCGTGTCCCCCTACAGGGAGATTTTCGACGAACAAAAAAAAAATACACCCCAAAAATGCTCCAAAAGGGTTAAAAAAAAATACCCCAAAAATAGTCCCCAGACTAGTTTTGGAGCATTTTTGTACTATTCTTGGGTTTTATTTATTTTATTTTTCGTCGAAAATCCCCCTGTAGGGGGACAGGCCCGATTTAGTCGAAACAGTTGCCCCTCGAACCTCAGCTGCCGGTACTCGGGCCGGAAGTCGTGGCCCCACTCCGAGATGCAGTGGGCCTCGTCGATGGCGATGAGGCTCAGCCTGCCAGCGTCCCGCAGAGGCCCGAGGCGCTCCAGGAATCCGGACATGAGCTTCTCGGGCGTGACGTACACCTGTCAAGGGGCCCCAGGACACACAAATAAATACACACAAATAAAAAAAATCCTCCCCATATTTTCAAGGCTTTTGCCTTCCCGCCCAATTCCCATATTTTCCCATATTTTCCTGGGGATCGACGATTAATTGTGTCTGTGTGTTTTTTTCCCTCCTGAACCTGGAAGAGAAAAACTGCACATGCATCATAAACTTTCGGAGCTCCGCGCGGATTTCTCGGATCGGCGCTGGGCCCCCCCTGGCGACGCCCGCAGCGCCGCCCCTGGCGCGCTCCGCGCGCTGGGGAGGGGAGCTCGGGCGCCGATCCAAGAAGTCCGCGCGAAGCTCCGAAGGTTATGCTTGTGCCGCTTCTCTTCTGCGGGCACCATGGTGTACGCCCCGTGAAGGACCTCGCTCTCCATGTGCCTGTCCACCTGCATCGACCCCAGAAAACAGGCACGGGGCGCCCCGTCCGTGGCCCCCACGGTCGCGTTGAACTTGGAGACCTGGTTCATCATCAGCGAGATCAGGGGCGTGACCACTATCGAGATCTTATCGTCGGGGGGTGACAAGGGTGCCCCTGGCCCCAGGTGCACCCGGCTTTGCGCTCGACTCTGGATCCCCACAGGGCTTCTGGCCTCGGCCAGGGGCGGGGGCACTTGGCGGGGGGTGCACTTGGTGGGTACTGGCGGGCACTTGGGAGGGCACGAACGAACGAACGAACGACCACCAATGAGGACAGCAGTGCGGGCCTACTGCAGACAGGGCGAGGGAGGCCGTGGCCTCAGAACTACTATGGTGTATGATGCGGTATGCCTGCGAGACGTGCCAAAAATGGAGTGGCACGGGAGGGAAGGGGAGGAGGGGGAGGAGTCCTCGTGGTTGGAGTCGCCGTGGGCGGTCCTCGTGGACGGGCACTTGGAGTGCAGGGGGGGACCTTGGAGGGCGGGGGAGGAGTGCTCTGATGGGCCTCTGGCACCTTGGGCCAAGGGCACTCCTTGGCAACACCCAGTATTGGAGTGCAGGGGCGGGAACTGGTAGCAGAGCGACTTGCCGGCGCCAGTGGCCCAGAAGACAGCCGCGTCCCGCCCGGCCAGGACCGCCTCCGGGGAGACAAGCAGGTGCCGACACCCCAACTCCTCGGACCTCTCTCGGGGCGCGCTCTGGACCAGCATCTCGCTCCCAGGGGGCCCCGAAAGGCGAAAACGAGGCAAGGGTGGCGGCATGGGTGCCTTTTCCTCCCTTGAGCCTCCACGACCTCCAGCTGCCCTGGGTTGAAGCTGCTGAACCCGAAGTGCTCCCCCAGCGTTTTGCTCAACGCAGCGCCGTCTGCCTGCGCACACTGCTCCCTGCCTTTCATTCGCCTGCTAATGGGGGTCAGAGTTCTGGGGAGCAGAGTCAGCGAAGGGCAAACTGACCAAAATTGATTTTCTGAGACAAATAAATACCGGCTCGGGCCAAGCATTCCCACATACATTGCCCCGGAAAAAGACAGGAAGGCACCGCTTTCGACTTAAAAACGACGACCCCGAATAAGAGAAATCAGCGAAGTTGAGCTTACCTTCCCCTGACCCCCAAGAGGGGTGACCCCCAGTAGCAGGCGAAGGAGCCTTTCGCCGCGCCAGGCCCTGCGGCGAGCAGCCCCAGAGCGCCAGCATCCACCGCGGCGTCCACCGGAGGCGGGGGCGAGTGCTGGGAGTCGAAGGCGATGTGGCGCCTGGGCTGCCTCTGCGAGTGGAACCTTCGCGCGAGGGGGGAACGGCCTTGAAAACTAGGGGCGCGATCCTTCCACACCGGGCAGGCTCGCCCCCTTGCGGGCCCCGGGGCCATCACGGATCGATCCGGCTCGGAAAGCGGCGCAGAAAGGAGGGCTGGGGCTCCGGGCGTGATTCCTCACGAGAAGCCACGACGTTGCATTGCTTCCGCGACGTCGGATCTCAGGGGAGGAGGAGGAGGAGGAGGAGGAGGAGGAGGAGGAGGTGGAGGAGGAAGGGCCAAAGGTGAGCGGGCCCTCGAGGACCCTGCGGGGCTCACGTGGGGTCCGCCTCCCATCTCGAGCCCGCGGCCCGGGAGCAGGGGGCCTCGGGAGCCCCATGCCCTGACACCCGCCGAGATGTTCTTGGTCCGATCCGCGGCCCTGCACAGATTGGGGGGCCAGATGTGAACCCTACCCCTACCTCCCCCGGTTTCTGAGGGGGAGGGTGGGGTTCACTTACGAGGCAGTTCCCTCAATGGAAATGACCCGTTGCGGGGGCTGTGAAGACGGAGCTTGGAGGGAAGGTGAATTCCAACATCCTCCTCCTGCTCCTCGTCCTCCTCCTCCTCCTCCTCCTCCACCTCCTCCTCCTCCTCCTCCGCCTCGTCCTGCTCCTCCTCCTCCTCCTCCTCCTCCTCCTTCTCCTCCTCCTCCTCCTCCTCCTCCTCCTCCTCCTCCTCCTCCTCCTCCCCCTCCTCCTGCGGGCCAGGGCCACCTCAGCCCCCCAGCCGACTCCAACCCCTCGGGGCCTCTCCCCCGAGGCGGGGATGGGCCGCCACATGGTGAGCCCTCCCCCGGCAGATTTCTGAAACGGCGGCCGGGGATCAGAAGCCGCAAGGCATCTGCAGCCAGCGGAACCCTAGCGGGGTTGCCCATTACCTCAGCGTCGCATAGAAATTCTGCCTTTTTTCTATTCTGGGGGGCAGGAGAAGCTGGGAGCGCGCCCACAGAACTTCACCGGATTCGGGCTGGACCGCTGTGCGAATCAGAAATTCGCCAGTCAACCAGCGTCGAATGGAACTGTACGGGTTGGGGAGGGAAAAAAATACCGATACCGCTACCCCCCGTACCTCTCCTCGGGCGTGTTCTGACCAGAATGTCGAGGCGAGTCCGGCGGTAGCGACGAGGGCCTCCCAGGAGGCCCCAAAGAAGGAAAACGGGGCAATGGTAGTGTCGGTGCCTTTTTAAAGGGGCCCAGGGACACACAAAAAAATTGAGACGAATCCCAGGAATCTCCACATTGTCCTATCTCCTCTGGAGTATCGTCTTTCCCCCCCCTTTCCCATAGTTTCCCATAGTCTCCTGGGAATCGACGATTGCTTGTGTCTGTGTGTGTTCCCCCTCCCGCCTCCCCTTCTTCCCCCTCTCTTGCAGGCGGGCTAGCTCGCGACTCTGCGCCCCGGGCTTCGCTCGGACGCGCGTGCGGATTGCCTCTGCCGCGCTGCGACAGGAAAAGCTGTTGCCCCTCCTGACGTCAGTCTCCTCCGAGGGGTTTGTCTCCCCCTCCTGACTTCTCCTCGTCTGAGGGGTAGGGCTCGCAAGCGGTCGATGATGGGCAGATCTTCCTCCACCACTGCCATCTGTATGACGGGGGAGAAGGGAGGATGGGGAGGTCCTCCTGCTCCTCCTGCTCCTCCTTCTCCTCCTCCTCCTCCTACTCCTCCTCCTCCTCCTCCTCCTCCTCCTCCTCCTCCTCCTCCTCCTCCTCCTCCTCCTCCCCCTCCTCCTGCCCGTGGCAGCGGTGGTGGACAACTGGCCCATCCGTCGACGAGGGGAGCCTGCGCCCGCCCGCCAGCAGCGCCGCCGCGGACGCCAGCGGCGCCGCGCAGTGGCGCCAGGCCGCCGGCGGGCCGCCGCCCGGAGCGGCCTCGGGGGGCCCCAAGGCGGTGCGGCGGCGGGCCGAGCACCGTGCTCGGCGTTGCGTCGCACCTCCTCCTCCTCCTCCTCCCCTCCTCCTCCCCTCCTCCTCCTCCTCCACCTCCTCCCTCCTCCTCCTCCTCCTCCTCCTCCTCCTCCTCCCTCCTCCTCCTCCTCCTCCTCCTCCTCCTCCTCCTCCTCCTCCTCCTCCTCCTCCTCCTCCTCCTCCTCCTCCTCCTCCTCCTCCTCCTCCTCCGCCTCCTCCCTCCTCCTCCTCCTCCTCCTCCTCCTCCTCCTCCTCCTCCTCCTCCTCCTATTCCTCCTCCTCCTCCTCCTCCTCCTCCTCCTCCTCCTCCTCCTCCTCCTCCTCCTCGGGCTTCTCGAAAATAAATCGCGGCGGAGGCTTCTCGTGGTGTTTTCAGCCTCTCGGGGCCCTCCCCGAGCCTCGAGGCCGTCAAAAACCGACTCGAGAGGGAAAACCGGTCCCGGGGAAGTGGTCGGGAGGTCGGCGGTCGGATGTCCGGGATAATGGGGGGACACGTCGACCTGGAATCAGCGATGCATCGCCGATGGATCGGCGATAGGCCTCCGACAGACAATCCGCACGTTCCTGGGAAGGTTGGGGCTATTGGGCCCTTATCGGCGATCAATGGGCGATTGGGGGTCGATGAATCCCTCCCTATGCCTATCCCCCCCTATCGTTGCCCCTGACCGGAGCTACAGCCATGGTGTTGCTCCAGGCCTCCCAAAATGTGTTGTTTCGGCGCAGTTTGGGGAGAAGCGCGAGGGAAGCTGAGGGGAAGGACAGCGCAACAAGTACTCGAGAGTAAAGCTCTGCCCCTGAGTAAATCCACTCCGGTTCGAAAGAAAGGCAAGAATGCCGATCAGCAAATCTGACATGGAGGATACGAATTTGCCCCAAAACTGGAGGCCTGCCAAGTGAGTCCGAGTAGATGGGGTCGGAGGATCGCGACGCATCGCCGATGCATAGGTCAGCGATGCATCGGCGACATCGGCGTGATAAAGTCAGGCTCCACATCGAGCCGCATCGCCGATGCATCGGCAATGCTGCGTGATCCTCCAGCCCCATCTCTGAGCCTATCTGGGCTGCCTAGACACGAGGAACGTGAATCCGCCGGCCCCCTTGTGGGGCCACCAGGCTGTAGGCGCGAGGTTCGCAGTTTCCTGTACCAGTTGTAGCTTGTAGTTTCCAGTGTTACAATTCTGCTTCTTGCTGGTTACTGTAACTAGTTGATTGACCGCGCGAGGGGGGGGGAGGCCCAAACATGATTTTTAGCACCCCCTGGGCGCGTTGTCTGAATTGCTGGGGGGGCTCGAAATCGACACCCCTCACGCAGATCCGCGGGGTCAGAGTCCAATAACACAGGGGATTTGCCACATTTCTGAAATTCGGTGCCACCCCTCACGCAGATCCGCGGCGTCAGAGTCCAAAAACACAAGGGATTTGCCACATTTCTGAAATTCGGTGCCACCCCTCACGCAGATCCGCGGGGTCAGGGTCCAAAAACACAAGGGATTTGCCACATTTCTGAAATTCGGTGCCACCCCTCACGCAGATCCGCGGGGTCAGGGTCCAAAAACACAGGGGATTTGCCACATTTCTGAAATTCGGTGCCACCCCTCACGCAGATCCGCGGGGTCAGGGTCCAAAAACACAGGGGATTTGCCACATTTCTGAAATTCGGTGCCACCCCTTACGCAGATCCGCGGGGTCAGGGTCCAAAAACACAGGGGATTTGCCACATTTCTGAAATTCGGTGCCACCCTTCACGCACATCCATCGCAAGGCGTGGTAACCCAAACTGCGAGAACTCCCTCGGCCCTTTAATCGCAAGGTGTGGTAACCAAGCCCGTAAACCATACACGTCTTACCAATCGCCAGGTGTGGTAACCCCTCTTGTGATCAGTTGGTTTTGCTGATTGCGAATCGGCTTCGCATGAAGTTTCGATACTGCTTCACGACAGCGCCAAGGCCTCATGACTTAGCTCTTCCATGGCCCATTCTCCGAGAGAGGGGGCCGGCGGCAGGGGGCGAAGCCCTTACGGATAAGGGAAACAGTATGGGGCTTTCCTGGCCCACACATCAGCCTCCGCCACGGGTGGGCTCCCCGACCTGGGCCTGAGGAACGGGCCCGAAAACCAGAGGCCCACCTGAGCCAAAAGTGGTCCTTCTTCAATCGAGCGACGATCAAACGTGCGTCTTACGCGAGGTGACATAGCGAGCTGACGCCGCGGCTTACGCGGGCCGCCAGCGCGGCAGGCCACATTTGAGGCGGCGGCGCTTACGCGCGAGCTTACGCGGGCAGCTTACGCGCCAACGTCGGCAAAGACGACCCCCCTTTTTTGCATCGCCCCTTGGGGGAGGTTCAAAGTCCACAAAGACCTCACCGCACGGTCCGTCACATGCACCGTTTTGGGACCTCGGAGGTCCGGGTCGCCCGAGGCATCCTCAGGGAAACGAAGAATGACATAAACATACAAACTCAGAGGTCCGCGCGGGTTTCTCGGATCCACGCTGGCGCCCCCTGGCGGCGCCTCTGGCGCCGCCCCCGGCGTGCTCCGCACGCCGGGGAGGGGGGTCCGGCGTGGATCCGAGAAATCCGCGCGGACCTCCGAGGTTGTATACTTATGTCATCCTTTGAAGGGGCCCTGGGACACACACATAAATACACACAAATGACAGGATTCCCCATATGTTCCCATATTTTCTGGGTTTTTGTCTTCCCCCCACTTCCCATATTTTCCTACATTTTCTGGGGAATCGACGATGAATTGTGTCTGTGTGTGTTTTCCCCTCCTGATCCTTCGCTCCCCGAAACCTCGGAGGACGACCCCCGAGCACCCCGAGCCGCGCGGCCACCCCGAGGCCCCACGGGCTCACCACGCAGTGTGGCCACCGCACCGTTCTGTGCAGGGCTCGAGTTGAACAGTGTTTTCCGTTCTCGTTTTGTCTTCGTCATCCCTAGTCCTGTCCTCGCTCCACATGTGCTGCAAAGCGAAGCCAAAACGAAAACGGCCCACGAAACTGCCCAAACACCGTTGAGCTCGAGCCCTGGTTTTGTTGTGGAAGCCCCCGAGGCCTGGCGGGGGCCCAGCGGCACGCGCCAGGGGCAGGGCGGCGCCCCGGGGAGCGCGGGCGCGAGCCCCGCGTGCACGTGCAGGCGGCGGGTGAGCATCCGTCGTCGAGCGCTCGACGACTCCTGCTGCCCACCGACTCTTGGCAAGCGCGCTCCACGACTCGCAAAGTAGCCACTCCCAAACTTGGCGGCGCGCACAAGGGGGTGGAGGGAGGGGGGAGGGCTTCTTAGAAGGAGGCTGCTTCTTAGAAGGCGCCGGCTTTACGTCTATAGATAAGGCCCGCGCCTTCTAAGAAGCAGGGGTGCTTCTAAGGAGCACGCCCTCCTCCCCCCACCCCCCTCTGCGCGTGGCTGACAAACGGCCTGGCTCCGCCGCGAAGGACCTAGGATCCGCTACACCGGAGGCAGGCACGCGTCTTTCGGGCGTCTGCGACTGGGCACTCGGCGAGTAGTGGAACGCGCTCGGTGATCCACGACTGGCTCCCGATTTCCCCCTGCGGATCTCTGGATCTGCGTCGCTCCATATCTGCTGGGATTGACCCATAGCTACCTGGCTCGATCCCCAGAGATCCGACGTCGTGGAACTCCACCAGCCCTTTGGGTGGTAAGTGGTCTAGAGCGCTTCTTCTTCCAACCCTCTCCTCTTCTCCTGCTGGGAGTGGTGATCACTGCTCCCTACTGATAAACAACCCCTCCCCCAGGCGACCGGCAGCCAACCCGGAACAAGGAGAACACCACTCGCCAATCCCCTTCTTCTCCTGTTGGGAGTGGTGATCACTGCTCCCTGTTGAAAAACGCCCCCTCCCCTAGGCGACCGGCAGCCAACCCGGAACAATGAGAACACCAACCACCATCCCTTTTCAAAATTTGCCTCCGAATTTGGAGCAATTTGCCTCCAAATTTGCAATGTGCATGCAACTTGGAGCCTCCATGGAAATTGTTGCATGCAAATTGCATGCAAATTTGGAACAATGAGACAGCATGCACTCTGCCTCCCAATTCGAAGCCCGCGCGGGCGCCCCGCGACCGCTTTGCACTGGCTTTTGACAGGAACGGCGGGGGTGCCGCGTATGGCTTGCCACGCACAGGTCAACCATGACGGTCCAAAAATGATACAAAAGACACTGTGGCTCCAAATCTGGAGCATGCGCAGGGCCCTCGTTTCCCTGAACTCTCATCTGCTTCACGACTCCTCGAGATGTCACAATGTGTCTATCGGTGTTGCTGCTTTGCTCTCCTTGGAGGAACCGCCCTTCTCACATAATGCTCGGCACTTCGCTTCAGGGTATCCAAGATCCTGAACTCCTTGGGGCCAGGGCCCCAGGCACCTAAGCTCCCTATTGGTTCCCCGTAGCTGGCGCACCTGGCGCGGCTGGAGCACGTGGCACAGTTGGCGCTCTTGGAGCATGTGCCGCACCTGGCACACTTGGACCTCCACGGTGCCTGGTGCACAACTGGAACCTGGGGCGCGCACGGCAGTTGTGGCGCTCCTAGGCGATCTGCTGACACTCGGGTTTGACTTATGTGTTGGGAGGGCGGACGGGAGTGAACTAGACGGCCTGCTATCTGGGAGGGTAGCTTGACCCTTCCCCCTCCCCCCTCCTCCTGCACCTGGGCGGGGTGCCCCGCGGGGGGGGTAGAGCGTCCAAGATGGCCTCGGCGAGAAGGCCCAACTCATTGATTGCACTAAGGTGTTGGACAAATGTTGGACTCCTGAGCGGGGGCAATTTGAGTACCCCCCTTCGTTGATCGATATACTCCAAGATGGTCCCAAGACGGCCCACGAGGCTCCCAAGAGCGCCCCAAGAGGGCTCCAAGAGGCGCCCAGGAGGCCCCAAGAAGCCTCCAAGAGGTCCCTAAAAGAAGCTATCGAGAGACATCTGGAGAGATTCCCAGAAGAATCCAAGAGGCCTCTGGCCTTTCTGCTCGCCCTCCTCCTCCTCCTCCTCCGCCTCTTCCGCCTCCTCCTCCTCCTCCTCCTCCTCCTCCTCCTCCTCCTCCTCCTCCTTCCGCCTCCGCCTCCTCCTCCTCCTCCCCATCCTCCTCCTCCTCCTCCTCCTCCTCCTCCTCCTCCTCCTCCTCCTCCTCCTCCTCCTCCTCCTCTGCCTGTTCCTTCTCCTGCTCCTGCTCCTCCTCCTCCTCCTCCTCCTCCTCCCTCCTCCTCTTCCTCCTCCGCTTCCGCCTCCTCCTCCTCCTCCTCCTCCTCCTCCTCCTCCTCCTCCTCCTCCTCCTGCTGCCTCCTGCCTCCTCCCTCCTCCCCAAACCCCTCCTCCTTATCCTCCTCCGATTCCTCCTCCATCCTCCCCCTCTTGGGGTGTGACGTCTTACACAGCCCTTTTTCTCCTGCATGCTCCTCCAACTCCTTGATCAAGGCAACTCGTCTGGGCATCGTTTCTGGACTGGCTGGCAGGGTTACGCGAAATATCCAGGATTGAAGTCCCGACCCACTCCTGGGCACCCGATGTTCATCCTGAGCCGTGTTCTGAGGGCTCTGGGGCCCGGCGAAGAGGCCTATGCAGGCCGAAGTCAGCGAAGCACCTCCGCCTTGGATGCTTGTCGAGACGTTGTCGGGGGCGGCCGAGAGGTGGGCGTCCAAGAGGGGGGCGGGCGCAAATCATGGCAGGCGGCATGTGCGCGGTCCAAGGGAGGAGGCCAGGGGCGCAAGAAAATGATGAGAGGCGCCCTGAGATCCGAGGAAAGCTCACGGCCCCCGCCACGATACCCACACCCACCCCCCTGGCCATCCCCCCCCTCCTTGCTAGGGGGCCACATGCGAACCCTGCCCCCACCCCCACGATTTCACAGGGGGGGGGGGGTCACTTCGTCCGGGAGCTCCCGAGCGAAGTGACCCCACCCTCCCCCTCAGAAATCCTGGGGGGCGGGGGTCGAGTTCGCATGTGGCCCCCTCCTTGCCGCCCCCGACGCTGCATCCCAGGGCCCCTGCAAGTCGGCGGGGGGCAGGCCGTCGAGCCCTCCGGGAGCACACGTCCCCGCGGCGCGGGCGGGCGGCGTGCACGCCGGCGGCGCGCGGCGGGCGCGCCGGCGGCGCGAGGGCACGGGGGCCGACGGGGGGGGGGGGGGGGCGCCCGGCCCCTCGGCGAGGGCGGCGGGCCTCTCCGAAGGGCCGGGGGCTTCTGGCCTCGGGTGGCCCCCGAGGGGGGCGCGGTGGCCACGCCGCGCGGCGCGAGTCGGGGGGGGCACTCGGGGCCGCCGCGCGGTCGGGGGTCTCGGAGGCCGCTCCCCGAGGTGGTCTCGGGCGACCGGGGCCTCCGAGGTCCCAAGACCGTGCGGTGACGGACCGCGCGGTGAGGTCGCTGGGGATGCCGAGGTCGCCACGCAGTCCGTCAACTCACGGTTTTGGGACCCCTGGTGGACGCTGACGGCAGGGCCGCGTCGCGACGACCCCGGCGTTGGTTTCCGACACTGCGTGGATCGTTCAGTTTTGAACTCTCGGCGGCTTTGCGACCACCAACTCGTTCCACGTGGGCCGATTCTGTGAGGAGGCAATGTCAAGGGCAACGTCAGGGGCAACGTCAGGGCACCGTCAGGGGGGCAACGTCAGGGGGGGAGGGGAAGGAAAAAGAGGAGGCGGAGGAGGAGGAGGACGAGGAATAGGCAGATGAAGAAGAAGAGGAAGAGGAGGAGGAAAAGGAGGAGGGTGGGGAGGAGGAGGAAGCTGACAACCGAAGTTCAGCGCCCCCGCGTGCCAAGCACCACGGGCAGAAACATAGCAGGCTCCTCCGACCGTCAAAGAACGATTCGGGATAATACCGAATCATTATTTGACAGTTCCGAGGCCCAGTAAGGGCCCCGCGGGGCCCGAAACGCCGAAAGGCCTGCGTCTCGATCTTCTCGAAACGCTGGATGTCCAGGATCCCGTACATCCCCCTTCCCCTATCCCGCCCCCCTTGCGCCCGACCCGATAAGGAAGGCCCCCGCCCTGGCTGTCCCCCCCTTTCGTCCGACCCGAGAGGGGTGCGCTGAAAAGGGGGCCCGCCACGGGAAAGAGAGGCATGCACCTGCAACGACCCTGGCCAGGTCCATTCTGGGCGTGGCCAGGGTCGAGGTATTCACATCTTTCTCATCGCCCGACCCGCTGGGGCCTCAGCTGGGGCTCCCCTATGGGGATCCCCGTGGCGGCGCGCACACAGGGGCAGGTGGGAGGGGGAGGGCTTATTTTAGAAGGAGGCTGCTTCTCAGAGGGCGCCCGCCTTTCATCCCTAGAATAGGCCCGCGCCTTCTGAGAAGCAGGGGTGCTTCTGAGAAGCCCTGCGGGGCCTACCCCCTACCCCCACCCACCCTCTGCGAGTGGATGAACAAAAACCCCTCCCAACGAGATCCAGCGTAGGGTGAACCCCCGCACCCCTCACGGCCACCGCCCTGGCCAGTCTTCCAGGCCGCGTGCAGCCGTGGGCGGCGAAGGATAGCTCTGTGAGAATCCTGTGGGGAGAAGCACAGTAAGGAACATAATAGCGTTGATACGGAGACGACGAACCGCCTTCTGCGCATGGCTGAACGATGACGATGACGATAAGGATAACGATGACGATGACGATGCTTGTTGAATGCTGAACGCACTCTGCTCTCGTGACTATGGTATCGGGCTCGCCCAGCGCCTCGGCGAAGCTGGGCTGCAGACTTGGTGCCAAGCTCTTTGAGTCCACACGACTACGGACGCTCTGCCGTTACGGCGCCGTGGCCGAACTCCAGAGCACGCCGCAGCCCAACTCTGTCGTAACGGTGTTTGCTGGCCTCCCCCCCGCGTCGCCGAGAAGCGGGAAGGCGCCCCCCCCCTCGCTCCCCCGTCCCCCCCTCTCCTGCGCGCCGCCGGGCACGGGCCGAAGCGGGCGGCCGGGACGCCTTCGCTGGAAGGCCACCGGCCCAGCGCTTCTCGACAAACGGCTAGAGGGAGCGAGGACGGACGTTCGAGGGGCGGATTTGACAGATCTGCCAACATCACGGCACCGATGCATGCGAACATGACAAACGAACCACCAATCAATCAACCAACCAACCAATCAATCAATCAATCTAACAAACAAACAAACAAACAAACAAACAAACAAACAAACAAACAAACAGACAGATAATCAAACAGACAAGCAAAGAAGGAAGCAAACAGACAACACACACAGGCGAACTGACAAGCAGACAAGCAAGTAAAACATAGACCAGCAAACAGGCAGACGGACAGACAGAGAAACAAACGAACGAGACTCCGCCGAGACATTTCCGGGGGGCGCTGAGACCATGTCCTCCCGCCCGACACTTCTTGCTCTGCCACGGCGCTGGCGGCCGAGCGCACGGCGCGGCCGGAGCCCAAGCGGGACGCGAAGAGGCGAATCGGCTCACGAGAGATGCGGGCGAGGCGAAGGACATCCGCCACACACACACTAACACTTTTGGCGGTAGCGGCCTCGGGCGCGGCGACGAGGCGGAGAAAGCGCAACTGTGCGCGCAGCGGCCGGGCCTTCCAGCATCGCTTCGGATGCAGTCCTACAGGCATCAACAGTCCGGGCATAGACGGCGTGGAGGGTACACGCAAAAATCCCGGGAGATGCTCACCTCGGCTGCACGAGACACGAAGAACGCCATAAGCCATCCGGGCGTGGACAGCGAGGAAGGTACAAGCAAAGCCGTGGCACGGCCCGCACGGCGGCACGAGAGGCGGAGGATGAGCAACGGCAAACGACTGCAGGAGCAGTGATGTGCGGGCCCGGGGTGGGCCCCGAAGCGGGCCCGGGGACCAAAGGAACGGGCACAGCCCGCCCAAGCATGGCGCCGTAATCGCCATGGGGCGTGGGCAAAGCAGCTGCAGGTAGGCGGCGAGCCAGGGGGGGGAACTGAGAAGGGGCGTGCCTTCTCAGAAGGCTCAGGAGTCCCCCGGACTTCTGAGAAGTTTTCTACGCCTTCTCCGAAGACAGAAAAGACTTCTCAGAAGGCGTGGGGGCTTCTCACAGCGCGAAGCGCACCAGGGGCGTCGCCAGAGTCACCGCCCCAGCGGGGTCTAGTGCCGATTCAAGAAGACCGCACAGACCTCAGAATGTCTATTCTCATCTGGATAATTTTGGTCCTCGAGGCCATCCTCCTCCTCCTCCTCCATCAGCATCATCATCATCATCATCATCATCATCATCATCATCATCATCATCATCACCATCACCATCACCATCACCATCATCATCAGCAGCAGCATCAGCATCATCATCATCAGCATCATCACCACCACCACCACCACCATCATCATCATCATCATCAACATCATCAGCAGCAGCAGCATCATCATCATCATTGTCATCAGCAACATCATGATCAGCATCATCACAATCATCAGCATCATCAGCAGCATTATCGTTATCAGCATCATCATCATCGTCAGCATCATCATCAGCATCAGCATCAACATCATCATCCGCATCATCAGCATCATCATCAACATCAGCATCATCATCAGCCTCATCGTCATCATCAGCAGCAGCATCAGCATCAGCATCAGCATCAGCATCATCATCATCATCATCATCATCACCATCGACATCTCGTTATCATCATCCTCATCAGAAGCATCAGCAGTATCATCAACATCAGTATCAGCATCATCATCCTCATCATCATAATCATCATCACAACCAGCATCATCAGAATCCTCATCATCAGCATCATCATCGCCATCATCAGCATGATCATCATCGTCATCCGCATCGTCATCATCATCAGCATCATCACCAGCAGCAGCACCAAAATGATCATCATCAGTGTCAGCATCATCAACATCAGCATCAGCATCGTCATCATCATCATCAGCATTATCATTGTCAGCATCATCATCATCATCATCAGCATCATCATCAGCGCTATCATCATCATCGTCAGCATCATCATCTGCATCGTCAGCAGCATTGGAATCGTGACCATCATTAACAGCATCATCATAATATTCTGAAGCATCATCAGCATCATCATCGCCATCATCATTGTCGTCGTCATCACGACCATCATCAGCAGCATCGCAATCATCATCATCATCAGCATCATCATTATCAGAAGCAGCATCATCATCATCAGCAGCACCATCATCATCATCATCATCATCATCATCATCATCATCATCATCATCATCATCATCATCATTATAATCATCATCATCATCATCATCATCATCATCATCATCATCACCATCACCATCACCATCACCAGCATCATCATCAGCAGCAGCAGCATCATAATCGTCGTCGTCATCATCAGACACAGACTCATCATCATCACCACCGCCATCATCACAATCCTCAGCATCACCTTCATAACCACGACCTACGTCATCATCATCAGCATCATCATCATCACCAGAAGCAGCATCATCATCATCATCATCATCATCATCATCATCATCATCATCATCATCATCATCATCATCCGCATCATCCTCATCCTCAATATCAGCATCATCATCATCATCATCATCACCATCATCCGCATCCTCATCAGCATCATGA